AGATTTATATCTTTATATATATATATATATATATATATATATATATATAATGAAGTAATTAATGGATATATTTAGCCATTAAGCCTTTATTTTGTAATTAATGGATGTGAAATTTGAAGCATGGAGACAAGTGATACATATACAATGTACATGTAGAGCATGAACTTTCCTAATTTATGCTTGATAGATACAACATGCCTAATGATAACAATATGTGTTTCTCATGATGAGCTTGATCGAAAAACACATCTGCAACTCCCTCTATGGCAAGTAAAAATGGCTTTGAGCTTTTGAGAGTGCATTGGTAACATCATGCATGGTTGGCCGAAAGTTAGGATTGACCTTGAGGCATGAAAATGCTTGCATCACTACAGACACCACTTCCTTTTCAATCCATTGAGCTGCTGGAGGGGGCGGACGTGGATCTAACAAATTCTTCAGCTCTATCTCTTGTTGATCAGTGGATGATTGCAGAGTGGATATAAGCTCATCTGGATGCTTTCCCATTACCATTTCGAGAGCTAGAACACCAAAGCTATAGACATCACATTTTTCAGCCATCCTCGTTGTATAAGCTAGCTCTGCAGCCCACAAGATAAGAAAATCTGTAATCTTAATTGCTGAATCATGAATTTCTTCCAAGTGAAACAGGAAAAGAATAAACGAGGACTACGGTGTGCGAAAATCTTACCTGGAGCAATGTATCCGCATGTGCCGGCAACTGCTGTCCAGTTTGAGGAATTAGGCTTCAGAAACCTGGCTGTGCCGAAATCGGAGAGGTAGGCTTTGAATTCATTGTCCAATAGAACATTTTTGCTTGATATATCTCGATGAATGATTGGAGGTCTGCAGTCATGATGCAAGTAGGATAAAGCATTTGCTATGCTTCTCACAATTTCCACCCGCTTGCTCCAGTCTAACTCCTCAGCTCGTATGTCATTGCTTAGGGCATCCCTTAAGTTTCCCCCGTCAATGTAGTCGTAAACAAGGAACTTGTTTGGTCCATGAGAACAAAATCCATAAAATTTCACTATGTCCCTGTGCCTGATTTCTGCCAGCACTTGAATCTCATTCCTAAAACTTTCCTCTGTGACCTCCTCATCATCCAGGGACCAAATTTTCTTTACAGCAAGTGCTTGTCCTGATGGCAATTCTGCTTTGTAAACTCTTCCAGTTCCACCCATCCCTATACAATACTCATCATCAAAATCATTGGTAGCTCCAATGATGTCTTCGTATGCAATCTTCCCATCATAATTCAATAATGAAAATACATTCCTG